TTTTATTTCGTTTTTTTTTTTTTTTTTTTTTTTTTTTTCTATAGGTGCTGTTTTGACTGGCTCGCTGCGTACTGGTAAATTTGGTGGTAGTCCTTACTATATCGGCTGTTATTATATTCCTTAACTGCATTGCTGTAAAGCTTTGAGGGTTCTTTTTTTAGCATTTAAGTTAATTTTTTTATTTCTTAATGTTTGTTCTTTCATAATGTTCTATGACTTGCTGGTATTTTTAACTGACTATCTGTTTTTGAGTGCTTTTCATTTCCATCTACATATCTATTCGTATCAATGTTCGTCGAATCAGAAGCTGATTTTCAGTAAATGTTAACTTCTGTATTTATATGTATTATTGTGTCTGAAACATTTGACTTCGCACCTATCTTTTAGAATTTCCTTCGGTTTCTCTAATTTTCTTCCAGTTTTCCGTTTGCCGGCACCACGTAGGAGAAGGTGATCGCTTATGATTAAAGACCGGCTGAGCGCGCTGAAAGCGGTTGGTATCTACTGGAATTGCATTTTTTTAATGATTGTTATGTTTGCATTTAGTAATTTCTGCTAAAAATCTCGACTTTAAAAAAAATTTGTGCTGTAGTATTCGGCTTATTTTTTTTGGTTAAAAACGGGCTTTTTTTTGTTAATGTATAGAAAAACAATGTTAAAGAATTTCTTTTTAAGAGATTTTATTGATTGTTATTCACACTGCGGAAGTGTCCACTGGCTTATACAACGGCCTGAAATTTTTTTTTTTTTTGTTGTTGTTGTTGTTGAGAACCACACTTGTTTTAATTGGTTCTGTCTAGGCGCGGTCAGAAGATGAGCCTGCCGACGATGATTTGGAAGGTTTGGAGGGAGTACAGGGGCAGTATATGGAGGAGTTTTTTGAACAGGTTTGGTTAGATTTTGATCACTGTTAATATTTTGGGCGGCTGTGGGTATTTTCACTTTTTATTAGTTAAAAATGAGGCTTTTTGGCTTTTGTTACTTGTATTTCTTTATGTTACTTTTGTCGTTTAAAAGTTTGGTTGGAATATAGGTTGAAGAAATCCGTGGTAGTGTAGATCTGATTGCTTCCAATGTGGAAGAGGTGAAGAAAAAGCATTCTGCCATATTATCTAATCCCGTGAATGATCCGAGTAAGTATTTTATCATTTTTAAACCATCTTATTTTGGACATTTGATTTACAATTAACTCAATGTCATTAGTGGTTTTTAGAAACCAAAGAAGAACTAGATGAGTTGATGGCCAACATTAAGAAAACTGCTAACAAAGTGAGAGGGAAACTGAAACGTAAGTCGTCATATGTTTCTGATTTGTAAACTTTGCTTGCACCGTATGTAACTAAATTCTTTGAGTTGGACGTACATTTTTCAGTGATAGAAAACAGTATCGAACATGATGAAGGGGGAGGGCTTTCTTCCGCAGACTTACGTATTCGGAAAACACAACATGCTAGTTTGTCGCGGAAGTTTGTTGAAGTTATGACTGATTACAATAAAACGCAAACGGATTATCGTGAGCGATGCAAAGGACGAATCCAAAGGCAATTGGATATTGCAGGGAAGAAGGTTGATGATGAGGTATTGTTATTGCTGATTTTAAGGGTTTTTGGATACAGGCTGATTAAAAACA